AAACAAATAGCTTCTTATCTCTGTGGAGCTAGAATACCCAAACTAAGTTCTAGGGACTTGCCCATATGTTTCAGGAAAATAAAAATATCTTCACCATAAGGTCGAAGAAGGGTTAAAAAAAATCACTCTGGCTTTTCCTTACATAAAATGCCAGATTCTGCATGTTTATTTCTTACTGTGTTGAGCTGTTCTGTTTATAACAAGTTAAAATGGCAGCTTTTAAGTGAAGTCGGGTTGCTATGACACTTACAAAGAGAGTTGCCAGGGAAATATTCAGCCCGAAGAACTGTCTGGGTTGGGTACTGTCGTACTAAGTTTTGGTCACTTGGCTTTTTTGTGTTTCAGGACTCCTAGAAGTATACTATGCCCTAGCCATGTGAACCTGTTATGGACTTAAATCATTATACTTAAATCATTAGCCATTTATTACCCCAGGCTCAGAATTTCTCATTATGATGATTAATTGAAAACTCTTATCTCAAAGTCCAAACAGTTACATGGAATGGATTGCTGTGTTTCAGTGCTCCCGGTCCTGGTCTAAAGTTCTAAGGTAGTTGACCATCCTTGAACTAAAATGACCACTTAAGAGTTTGGGGGCTGGCGGTGGTGTCTTTTAGGCGCACGACTTCTTGTTCAGCTAAGAGTAAAGTAAGAGTATGCTGAACTTGAGCTGAGTTTTTCACCACATTTGGAGAAACAATGGTCTGCCTTGACCTCTTAGACATTTTTATATACTGGAGGAAATGTCTTTATTTTACTGAACATCTTTGAATAAAGCTCAGTCTTATTCATTAAAATCGCAAACAGTTTGACAGTTTATATTGCTGGTATTTTTCATTCTCATCAACAAGAGACTAGTGATACGTGTTCTCCCAAAGATTTAGTCTTAAAAAAAAATGTTTTTATATGAAATATTTCTTACCAGCAACCCAAGTTTTGAGGCTTTTCAAAAATAGGACAAATTGGCATAGTTCCACATTTGCCACCCTCATCCTCTAACCTTCTTTTAAAATTGAAATTTAATTCACACACAGTAATGCGCAAGTGCAGCTCTGTAAGTTTTGATGAGTGTAACCAGCACTGCAGTCAGTAAGTATGAGTGGAACATTTCCATCAGGTCAGAAAGTCCCCTGTATTCCTGTGTAGTCATCAGTCCCTTTACAAACGCGCCCCCAGGTAACCACTGAGCTGGCTTCTGTCATCATCCTCTCACTATGGTTTGGAACTTGGTATCAATGGACTCACACAGTATAGACTCATTTGTGTCTGGCTGCTTTGCTCAAGGTAATGTTTTTGAGATTTCATCCATGTTGTTGTGTTTTTCAGTAGGCTGGTCCTTTGTCTTGCTGAGTAGTTTTCCATTGCATGAATTTACCACAGTGTGTTTATCCTCTCACCTGTTGACAGACACCTTGGTGGTTTCCAACTCTGGGGTTTATGAATAAGGGGGGTGGAGTGTGTGTGTGTGTGTGTGTGTGTGTTTCTCTTGAGTAAACAAATAGCCAGGAGGGGAATTGCTGGGTCTTATGGTAAATGTATAGTAACTTCATAGGAAACTGCCAACCCTTTCCAAAGTGGCTGTATCATTTTACATTTTATGAGCTCCTCTTTGCTCCATTCTCTCACCAACACTCTAGTATTGTCAATGTTTTACTTTCAGCCATTCTACTGGATGTGAAATAGTATCCCATTGTGGTTTAAATTTGCATTTCCCTAATGATTACAATTTTGATCATATTTTCATGTGCTTATTGGTCATTTGATATCTTGTTTTGTGTCCTCATTTTCTTAAAAATTTGAGTTCTCTTGTTAAGTTGTGTAGATTCTTAGTTTGTCCTGGATTTAGGTCTTTTATTATATACATGTGGATCATATTTGCTCCTAACCTGTTGTTTACTTTTTTTATTTTCTAAAGGCATCTTTTGAAGAACAGGAGTTTTAAGTTTAGATGCTAAAGTCCAGTTTATCATTTTTTTCTTTTGTAGTTTATGTGCTTCTGTCATAAGAAATCTTGACTATCCCAAGCTTGCAAAACTTTTCTCCTTTTTTTTTTTTAGAGGTTTTGTAGTTTTAGTTTTTACACAAAGGTCTATGATCCATTTCAAATTAATATTTGAATTTGGTGTGAAGCAGGGGTCATGATTACTTTTTTCCATATGGCTATGTAATTATTCTGGCCGTTTATTAAAAAGACTTTCCTCTCATTGAATTACCATGCTCTCTTTTTGATAACCAATTGATCATGGATGCATGACTCTATTTCTGTGCTCTTTATTGTGTTTCATTGATCTAAATGTATATATATATATATATATATATATATATATATATATATATATATGTCACTGTACCTTTTTTGCCATTCTTTTGATTATTGTAGATAGATGTCTTGAAAACAGGGAGTGTGAGTCCTCCAAATTTGTTCTTTTTTATCCTAAATTGTTTTGTCTATTTTAGGCCCTTTGTGAAATTTCATGTTAAATTTACAATCAGTTTATCAATTTCTGCAAAATAAACCTGCTGGAATTTTGAATGGGATTGCATTCAACCTGTAGGTCAGTTGGGAGAGCAGACATCTTAAAAATACTGTTTTCCAATCTATGAGCTTAATATATCTGTCCGTTTATTCAGATTCATTTAATTTCTCTCTTATAAAGTTGACCATTTTTTAAAAATTCATTTATTAGATCCGCTTGATTTCTCTCAGTAATGTTTTGAGTTTTCGGTCTACAAATCTTGCACATTTTTCGTCAAATTTATTCTTAAGTATTTTCTAATTTTTTATGTTACCTGTAAATTTTTTTTAAATGTTGCTTTCTAATTGTTACTAGTATATAAAAGTTCATTTGGTTTGTATATATTGACTTTGGATAGCTCCTCATTTGTGTCTCTTTCTTACTTTACCTCTAAAACAATCACTTCAATTTTCCAGAAACATGTTTGTTTATATATGCTTGCTGTAATTTTGAGAAGCTTCCCTGTTTATTGCTCAAGTAATTTTATTACAGATGGCTACAGATGTATCATGCAAAGTTTGAACATTGCTTGACCTGATTGCTAAATTTTGCCATGTTTTCATCCTTGCAGCTGTGATAATTAAATATTAAATATTTTATCACCTTTGCTTACTTTTTGTAGGTAAATTTGGAACCAGTGTATATTATTTTTATTGGGGGCTTAGTGCCTTTTTTCTGGTTCTGGTTCTATTTCTGGTTCTGGTCCTTCACAGTTTAAAGCTGTGCTAAAGCACCTCTTCCTTCAAATTTAAGAGAATTCAATTGAAATTAGAGGAGTTGGTGTGGTCAAACAGAATCCATTTCAAAAGTCACACCAAAAGGGGGAAAAAAAAATCAAACCAAAAGAAAGGTGTATGGCATTTGTTGAGGTGCTTTTCTGAATGTAATATTGAGCAGCTCATTTATAAGCAGCTCTTTCTACTTTTAATATCAGGGCTCTTTTAGTTATAAATGACAGAAACCCAACTCAAGCTAATATAAGTGGAAAAAAGGAATTCACTGCCACATAACCAGGATGTTGAGAGTTCAGCTGGCATTAGACAGGCTTGATCCAGAAACCTCGTTATTTCATCTCTTAGGGGAAGATGGCTGCTTGCAGGCCCACTAGTTTGTTAAACCCCAAAGCAAGAGAATTCCCTGATAGCTCTGGCCGGAGAGTCTCAGGGAAGCCTGTGATTGGTCCAGTTCATGGGTTAGGAGCCCATGCCAACACCAGTCACTATTGGCCAGCTAGGAAATTAGATACTCTGGCCAGACTGGGTCTAAGGGGCTGCATGACTTTAAGCCCTAGAATGAAAAGATGTTAATAAAACGTTGGTGTCCAAGTTAATTGACTGGCTAGTGGCAGGGTTGAGATTTTTACTCTTCTTTTCACACTAAAAGAGACGCACTAGATTTTGTTAAATGTGAAAGGGACACTTATTACATTTTAGCCTTTCAGACATACTTAACAGAAATAGCAGTCACTTTGAAGTGAGTTAATGTTAAATGAATGATCAGGAGATGTCTAAAATGGAAAAAGAAAGAAGAAAGGTGTGTGAGTTCTGTCCCAGTGTCTGCAGAGCTGGTCTTTATACTTCTGGAATGTTCAGCATGGTCTTAACCTGGTGAATCTGTCATACTACCTGGTGCCTTCTCTTTCCTTGAGGCAGTTGTCTGGCTGGTGTCACATGATTCTTCATTTGGGGTTGGACAGTAATAGTGTGTAAAGTGGATTTGGCGTCCAGCAATTGGCTGACATAACAATAGGGTTTAGTTTAGAGACCAAATGCAAACATTTGTCACCTGACCCAGTAAATCTTCAGTAACTGCTTGAGGGTGGGAAGTGGGCACGTGAGCAGCGTTCTCGGAGTCTGCTTGTACTCCTCACTCACTCCCACTCTACTGGTACCAAGCTGTTTGTCTCCATTTGAGGACCCCTGCCTCGTCCTGATTTCT